GTCACACTTGCCAATCAGATCTGTTGAATCTCACCCAGAGCTCCAATCAGCAGTTTTGATGGGGGGCAATCCTATACCCTAGGACAGTGGTCGGCAAACTGCAGCCCCTTGAGTGTGGTTCTTCCACAAAATACCACGTGCGGGCGCGCCCATACAGTGCGATTGAAACTTCCTGGCCACACTCAAGAGGCCAAAGAGCCGCATGTGGCTCGCGAGCTGTGGTTTGCCGACCACGGCGCTACAACAGCGATTCGAACTGCTGTGCTGCACGAACGTGTAAAACAGGCAGTACCTGGCTATGTAGTCAGGGGCACTGACCTCTGTCCCTTGGACTGTCAAGTCAAAAAATGACAACAGCCAACACAATAGCTGTCTGGTGTGAATGAATCGAAATCATACTACTAAAAAAGTCAGACTGGCAAAAAATGTAACATTTTTTGGTGTGCTGCAGAATTTTAGTAGTGAGTGATGCGGGCCAGGAGATGAAAAAGGTGGGAAGTGGCTGGCTGGGAGCCAAGGGGCCCCATCAGCAGGAGGCCTGCGTTTGCTCTGTGTATGTGCTGTGTCTCCAGATAAAGCCCACAGCACCGATGGCCTGGGTTCCTGGGAGCTTGTCTCGGGTCAGTGACACAGTGGGCTTCCTTTACGACCAGGGAACAGAGAAGGCTGGAGAGAGTGGAGAAAATGAGGCACCAAAGGAGGACAAGGACGATGAGGGCGACCTCACCGAAGCCCAAGAGGAGGTGAGTGTTCGCCTTTGGCCGCAGTCTCACTGGCCGCAGCTCTGTGCATGAGCACGTGTGAGCTCCTATCAGGGGCAGGAGCCTCTCCGGGTACAGGGGTGAGGATGGAGGTGCGGCGCTGGAGTCTCGCCAGGGAGGAAGCAGGTAGTTTTCACTGAACGTGTTAACTGCTGTGCTGGAGGTGGGTACGGGGCTAAGAGGAAGTCGGAGGAAGGACCTGAACCCAGGTCTGGCGGGGGAGGGAGGGCAGTCTCCATAGGACTTCCGCCGTTTGTGATGTTCTTGGGCTCTGGTGGGTTCCCTATAAAACAAGGGGACTTATTCCGTGGTCACGATGCCAGGATGGGTGCCAGCTGCTTGCTGACGGCTGGGCAGCGTTTGGGAGGCAGGTCGGGGAGGGCTGAGAAGACCATAAACTCCCACCAGAGACGGTCTGGGCTGCAGCTTCAGACCCACAGAGGGGACTTCCGGGCCCCCGACAACCAGGGGGTGGGCAGCTAACGGGGCGTGTGGATGGTGCCCGAGGAGTGACGGAGGAAAGCAGAAGGCCCCCAGCTAACGGGCACTCTCTTGGGCAGGGCCTGCAGACCTGGGCATCCCGAGAGCTTCGGGAAGCCCTGGCAGCTTCATGCTTCTGTGGCTCTCATCAAGGTCCATGATTTTAGGTTGTGTTCTCTGCGAACCCAACCTCTCCACAATCTCTGCAGACCTTGGCCGGTTGTGGTCTGTAATCACACCACTCGGCTTCCCCACCACCAGTGGGAGGAAGGGTGCATCCTCGGGGGGCAGGTTGGTCGAGGTCCTTGAGGGGCTCCGAGCCTGGTCCCTGTGGAGCCGGAGGACCCGGAGAAGCAGGTCTGCCCTGATCCCCAGCCACCAAGGCCAGCTGCCTCCCAGGCCTCCCCCGGCAGCCCTCGGCGTCCCCCACACCACCCCTGTCCTCACCCTGGCCATGCGCCACCCGGCGGCCTGCCTCTGGGCCCCTCCCTCCCAGCGCAGGCTTCCCACCCGGAGGCTCCCGACCAGCTCCTTAGGAGAGCAACACTGTCTGCTGACCCCTCTCCACTCCTCTCAGTAATCAGGTGATTTTTGTTAAAAACAGGCAGGAGAGGTAACAGAGGAGGGAGCAGAAGGGGACGCGGAGGGAGAGGAAGCTGAAAAAGGAGACGAAGAAGCAGGAGAAGAAGGAGGAGAAGCAGGAGGAGAAGAAGAAGGAGGAGAAGAAGGAGGGGAAGATTCTTAGGCCTCTTGTGCTTTATTCTCCAGCGTCCCCAGGTAGCCGCGCCTTTCCGGGGCGACACGTGTTCATTGAGAGCTCTCTGTGCTCCGCTCAGTGGTAATGGAAGCGGGTTCTAGTGCAGAGCGATGCCTCGCCCCCAGGCCTGGGCTGCCCTTCCGGAGCCACAGGCTGGTGAACTCGCGGACCCCCTGCTCGGGCACCGGGCAGGGAAGCCTACGGTCGAGAAGGCTTCCAGGAAAAAGTGTTCCTTTGAGGAAGAGTTTGTTTGGTACTTATTTCCTCCTCTTTCTCTGCGTGACCTTTATTTACGTGAAGGTACAGGCAGTGTCCTGTTACCGGCCTTCTCTGACTACTCTACTGACCAAAATACCTACATATTTATAGGGGAATGGCAATGGAGATCCGTAATGATGGCAACACATTGTAACTTTAAAAAACCACAAAGCCGGCTGCTGTTCATGAAAACAAATATGGCTGGCAGCTATCTAGTGATGAGAGCTGGCTATCACATATTCACTTATAAATATTAACCAGAACACTCATGTAGAAACACCGTGGAACACAGTGGCGTCGCTTCAGGGGATCTTTGACAAGGGCGCTTGCTGCCTTGTAGTTTTAAGCTTCTACTGACCACGGAAAAGAATTCTGTAACGCTTCACAGTTTGGTGAGTGCCACAGAAATATATTCACAAGGCAATGGTGGTATCTAACGACAATGGATATCAACATGGGGGAGATGCTCAACATCGTGGGCCATACGGATAAGAAGGAATGTGTGAACACACCTAAAGATCGTAAGTGCTATAAAAATACCTGGTTTAACAAGTCATATAGCAAATCCCTAGGTCAGTGGTTCTCAACCTTGGCTGCACATTAGAATCACCTGGGAATCTTCTTAAAATCCTGATTTCTGGGCCTCATTCTTCGGATATTCTGTTTCTTTGTTATGGGGTGGGGCCACAACATTAGTAACAAAGAAACAGAATTTCCGGAGGATGATGCCCAGAAATCAGGATTTTAAAAAGATTCCCAGGTGATTCTAATGTGCAGCCAAGGTTGAGAACCACTGCCCTATGTAAATGTGTAATTATTATTTGACCCTGCAACCAATTTGAGGTGGCAGTTTGCTTTGGTGCTATCAGAGTTCCTTTTGAAATTTACATTAAAACTAAGAATATTTTTAAGTCTCCTTAATGTCCATATTATGCCTCTATCGACACACGTAAGACAGATTTTGGGCCTGTTGATGTCAGGGGCGCCGGGGAAGGAGAGTGAGGGAGGAAGCCCTCAGCCACTCAGTAGGTCTTCAGAAGGCTCTCTGATAAAGCTCAGAGCCTGTCTAGGGAAGGGTGGACGAAGGGTTCAGTTGGAGAAGAAACAAGAAATCTCCGGTGCTTTGTAAATATCCGCTAACAAATAACTCCACTGTGTGCCAGAGACCAATTGGAATAGCACAGGTTTCCCCTCATAATATACTGACGCTTAGACATGAAAAGCTGCTGTAAAATCTTGGCGCTTAATCCATTTTGAGGGAATCTTAGAGCTGGTGAGAGGAGCCATCACAGTGTACGATTGGGCCAGGAGCGTTTCATCGCTCATTTATTTAAATTGCACAGCGAATGTAGCCCATCATCGGGTGTTTCCCAGGCGGGCTCTTTCATGTTCTGGGCGCATGGATTTCTACTTTAAGGCCTAATGTTGTCGTTTTGGGCACGAGCCCTTTTATTTATTTTTCCACCTGTTGTTATTATTGAGAAACCTGTTGTCAGTCTTCTTAGTGTCCTAATCCCATTTCTGTGGAATGGGCTGGGGCCCATTTCTGTGAAAAAGAATATCAGCAAGGTTACTTTTCAGAAGTTCATCTGAAGAATGGTTGGAAAGGAAAATATACTCATATTTGCCCTTATACAAACCCCCCCACAAAACCACAAATAACCCCAAACTTAAAAACCAAACAAACCTGTAGTAACAAAAGACTCACATGTGCTGTTTAAATTTATTTCTAGTCACTGAAATAAGTAAGGTTCTTTAAGAATGACGCAGTGTTCACGTGGCAGCTATAAAACGAACACCGAGTGTGAACGGGCACAGCTGAGAGTCCTTCATGGAGGCAGATGGCTTCATAGGCTGATTGAAAAGAAAGCAGCTGCAGCTGTGGCAGCACCTTTGGCCAGTTTTTCTGGTGGCTTCTAGTTTGGAATCCAGTCCTCAGTGGTCTGTCCTGAGGTCAAAGTGCCTGACAGTGAAGGAGGGAGTCAGGCAGCTCCCTGCCCCCTACCCCTGACCCCTGCAGAGACTCAACATCCTCCTTTAAAATGCAACCTGGCAACGCAATCCAGCTGCCAAAGACAAGCCCGTCTCATAGCTCATGGATAGTCCAGGCCTTTTCCTTGAAAAGGTGGTTTTCAGGGAGAGCATGGCAGTGCCTGGAACTATGAGTGAGGCCTCATTTTGTGTTTGAAATAGATGCTCAGTTGGTGCCCCTGGAGAAGGCCGCTACTTACCTCTGCTTGAATCTACCTCGGGCCATTTATTATTGGTTGATTGACTGATTGATTGGTTGTAAGTGGAAACACGGTTTATTGAGAGCTAGCTGGACTTCCTGCAGCAGGCAGGGAGGGGCCCAAAGTGGGTCGCCCTACCACGGGCGCTCCATTCATTCTCCGTGAAAACACAGCGGGACACCATCATTGAAGCTGCCGCCTTCTTTAAGGTGTTTGATACGTGCTCATAGAGAGGACGATATAAACCTGGTTGCTTTCCCAAGAGAAACATATACTTTCCTATCTGCGCTTGGGAACAAAGGATGAGTAGTGGGTTATGGAATGAATGGCAAATATTTCCTTACATGATAGATAATGAAGATTGTGCCAAACATTCTCTGTCCCCCTTTAACAGCTGTCTCCTTAATTTCCCCCTTTCTTTTAGAAAACCCAAGTCATGAAGCAACACTTCAACTGTCTCGCCACAAACCAGACTCAACAAACGCTTTGGCCCGAAGCTAGCCCACCTCTCAGAACACCCGGGCTCACCGAGGAATTGGACTCTGACACAGTTCGGTGTACGTGGACCCCTCTTCCTACCATATCAACATGAAGTTCATTGTCAAGACAACACGTGCACACCTTCATGGGCCTGACATTTTGGGCCTTTGCTTAATTTTCTCCTTTTTTTTTTTTTGCTCTGCATGAGTAGACCTTCTTACTAATACCCTGAAAAAAAATGATTTCAAAATATAGAATTCCTCTTTGTGCTATGCCAAGAGTAATCCTTTGTATGGGCCTTCTGCTACTTGTCTCAGAATTAGCTTTCGAAACGTAGCGCCTTCCAGAGAACAAGCACACAAATAAAGATGAATAGCAAAGACCTTGACCGAGGAGCATGGTTTCTTAGCTTTTGGTCTCTCCTCTCTGCCTGACCTCATGGATCTGTCGCCACATCCGAATCCTCAGCAGAACTTCTGTCTGCATCGGGGTGGGTGTTCCCGTTTCACTGATGATTTGCTCTGTTTTCAGATGACACTGATGGTCTTGTTACGTCATGTTCTGTATCGCACATGCTGTGTGCGTCATCTCGGAAGCCTTACTTGGCTGTAGCGCGATCACCCACACGTGTGGGGAGAACAGGGAGGACAAATAAATTTGCAGCCCGGGGCCCTTCACCCGTTTTTGTGCTGAAGGGCGCGGCTGCTGCTTTTTCTCCTGCCGCTGATTGATTTGCAGCCACGGCTGCTCGTTGGAGCCGGTCCTGTAATTTTGTCTCCTGATGCCAGAGTGTCTGTTCCCGGAGCTGGGCCCGCCGATGGCTTGTTCACCAGGTAGGTGTGACAGTGTTTCTCTGCTCACCTGCCCACCTCGGTCTGTCATGGATGCTTTTCTTTTTTGGACGATTTTGTTGCCATCCCTCTCTCCTTGGTGAATGTGCCAGTCCTTGTATTTTTCTTGCCGCAAACGTTGCTCCTGTCGTGTGGCAATTGCTCGCCTCCTCGCTTGCGGGCGATTTTCTGATTTAAGGACGATGGATCGTGGCAGTTCGACGTGGAGTGGCCATAAACTTCTCCTGAGCCTGCCGCTGGTTCTGCAGCTAAGCCTGCTTGTGTCATTCGAGGCTGATTTCTACGGGGGCAGAAGCTGTGGATCCCAGGACTCTGGGAGACAGCTCTTTTCTGGTTACCCTAGTAACTAAAGGAGGCATTTTGAAGTAAATTAAGATCATTTTGTTCCAGATAGTTGACGGGGACAGCTTTGAAAGCATTTCTCCCTTTGCTAAAAATAAGATGAGAGACGTCAGAGAGACAGAAATTCCTATAATTAAAAATTAATTTCCATTTGTTCTTCACTGCACTAAATTATGGCCCGCCAAAAGCACGTGTCATTTTATAACAATTGCACGCACAAATGGGCCTTCCGCTCCTGCTGTTCTTTGGGCCGGCGGTTAGTCTTTTGTGATAGGGTGGGAGGGAGATAGGTTTGTTTACGCACTGGTTTTCCTCCTGTTTCTCACATTTGTAAATGAAGAAAGTATTTGTGCTAATAACAAGCAACAATAACCAGGCCACTGATTTCCTTACTTATTATTATTTTTTTCAGACCACTTATTTAAGTTGGATTACTTTTTTCTTATATTGTCTTTCTGTCATTGTAAAAGGAACATCCTAGGAGCGTATTTTTATTTATGCACATTTCATTTTCTTTGAAGATGATTGAAACCTACTAAACAATAGGTGTTCCCTGCCCCACTCAGCCCTTCCCACTTGTTTTGGGTTGAGATAATTTGGTACAAGGACCCCAGGTGCACACTGTGGATGCTTTGTGGTTGTCATCAGTTTTCTAGATTAAAAGTGAAAGCCATAGCCTGGCTGGCGTGGCTCAGGGGTTGAGTGTCAACGAATAGCACTGATGGTGAACCTTGTGAGCTCGGCGTGTCAGCATTTTGAAAAACCCTAACTTAACTCTGGTGCCGTGTCACATGTAGAAATTTTTTGGTATTTGCAACCATAGTAAAACAAAGATGTATATTTTTGATATTTATTTTATATATTTAAATGCCATTTAACAAAAAAAATCAACCAAAAAATGAGTTCACGTGTCACCTCTGACACGCGTGTCATAGGCTCGCCATCACTGACCTATAGAATAAGTGGCCTTGCAGGTTTGGTTTAGCTTTCAGTGGCCAGTGGGCCCAGGGGCACTCTGAGGATAGTCCCCAAATATGGACTGTCCCCAAATATGGACTGTGCAGCATCAAAATATGTAAAAAACCCACGTGCTTTATCAATATAGGAAGTTTCTGGGAACTGAATTATGAATACAGAAAGAAGAATAGAGAAAAACCCAAGCGAAGCAAAGTCATGCTGCAGAAAAAGGATGATTTTGGTTTATTAGTCTTCAGGAGGCCTACACATTCAAAGTAACTTTTGTATTTTTTAACTAGAAAAGCAAGTGCACAGAAATGTGAAGGCGTGTTTTTCTAGCCACTAAACAACAAGTCTCCCTCCCCACCCGGCCTTTTCCCTCGTTTCCCTGCATTTTTGGGGCTGAGGTCGTTTGGTGCAAGGACTCAGGAGAGGCTCTGTGGATGCTTTGTGGTTGTCATTGGGTTCTCAGTTTTCTAATTAAGTGTGAGGGGCACAGAATGAGGATGCACTATACTGCCAGCAAAGGTCCTTGAGGAATATTTAAAACTGTTTTCTTTCAAAAGCAGTGCGACCGTTACACCTGTGCACCCATTGTAAGTAGAGTGACCCCAGTGTAGTGTAATGATAGAGAACGACCATTAGGTGGAGACAACACACAAGCTGCTTGATAGAGTGTCGCTGCCCCAGAGCTCCCGGCCACATGTGCAAGTGAGGGTGCTGTTTAAATCAGAGGAAAAACTATCTCTCATAGTGGCTGCACCAGTCTGCATTCCCACCAGCAGTGCAGGAGGGTTCCTTTTTCTCCGCATTCTCTCCAGCACTTGTCGTTTGTTGATGATAGCCAGTCTGACAGGTGTGAGATGGTACCTCATTGTTGTTTTGATTTGCATCTCTCGGATGATTAGTGACTTTGAGCATGTTTTCATGTCTCTTGGCCTTCCTTCTGTCCTCTTTCCAAAAACATCTATTTAGGTCTGTTGCCAATTGGGCTCACTCTTGCAGGGGCCCCAGAGAGGACTGGTCAAATACCCCCTGAATTGTGCCTGAAGACCCAGAGGCTGGGAGTTGTCCTGGGGGTGTTAGCTCCCCAGCCCTCTCCGTGCTCCGGGCTGCCTGTGGGCG